ATTTTTGGTGAAATTGTAGTTAAAACATTTTTTTGGTGTATTTATAGATTGATATTATTTTATTTATGTGGGTATATTATTTTTACCTCTCTTTCACTAAGAAACTGATTTTCTTAAATTAGTTAGAAATTGTGGGAGCTGCTAAGGGACTGGCAAATAGGTAACATAAATTGAGAAATTTGTAGTAAATTTAATAAGACCTTTTCGAAAATTTTATTATTTCCGTTAACGAAAGAATGTCTTAGTTTCTCGAAACTTTCGTTGCTCTTCTATACAAAAGCTACTTTTTCTTTTTTCAATATGTGAAAAGAAAAACTAAAAATAACTCGATAAGTTTTAATTATACATACATACAAAAACCACAACAAATACAAATAATGCCAACAGTAAATTTTAAAATATCTTTAATGTTATTGGTTATTTCGAAATATTCGTGAACTTAATATCAGACATACGTGAAACTATTATTTCCATGGGAATGTCTAGTCCGACAAGTTCGAGAATTGCATAACCTATTACCATGGGAATATAAGTAGTGGAATCTTTTCCCATGGGAAAATTTTCCAATGAACTCGAGAATCGAGCCCCAGATGAGGGTAATTTAATAAAGTTAGTAGCATCCATCTACATCACAGTTCATGATTCACGATTCAATACATAAAAATATTTGACAAAAGCAAGAGCATGAGATGGATGTATAATAAATTAATATTATTTAAAGGTCAATAAAATAAATTCTCTTTATTAGAGAAATATTGCAAATTTATATAACATCAGCCACTAATAATGACAACGTAATTAGAGGCAAATAAATTTCATATTAAAATAAGACTTATTGCAAACCAGAACTTTTGACTAGAGTCATTGTCCTTATACATATTTCTAACCCCATTTTAAATATTTTAAATTACAGTTCATCTTTTTTATTGTCTATAATAGTACATAATATTAAAGAGGCATTAGAAATTATAATTTTAGATGATGATATTAAATATTTAATATTAAAAAACTTCGAACTGATACGAATGTCGGCGAGCGCACGTGATAGCTATAAAGTCGTCACCTCTGGTCGTCACTATCTGCTGCCCTGAAACATTTAAGGACGGGCACAATCTTTAATAAAGTCAGTTCTAGAACATAAACGATCTGAACATGCTCATGTCAAAATAAGAGCAGCGCTAACAGTGACTGAGCTTAAGTAAACTTGCAATATCCTACACATAAGTTGAATATTTCTTTGCTTTAGTGAAATAATAACAAAAATGTAAATAACTGTATTTTAAAAACAATGAATTTTAAAGTACTTAGGTTGAACCGAAAATTCTGAAAAACAACTGGGTTCTAAGTTAGAAAAAATTATTTTACTAAAGCAAAGAGATTCAACTTCTACGGATTATTATTGTTTTTAAAATAAAAACTTTTGAAAACTGCTGGATGAAAGTACTCACTAGTAACAAAAACTGAGTACTTTGAATTTTGAAAATATGTTGATCTACACAGAATAATTCGTACATCTACATGGTGAAGCAAAAATACATTTTTTCTCCGATTGACATTAAATGTCACTTCTCGATCATAAAAGTAATACTTTTACTGCTTAGGCCACATACTTTGATTACTATACGGTGCAAGAGAGAGGTCCGACACGCCCAACATAGGGCGCGGCCAATGTTCCAGTTTATACACTGCGCAACTCGGATAATACAATATATGACAACCGCCTATAACAAAAGAGCAGTCTTCTCCGTATCCTGAATTTGTATCCCTGGAGTGGATGTTATTTTGGAACTTTCAACTGGTCCGAGTGAGCTAACTGATTCTTTAGCAATAAACTGTGACTCCAAAAATAATATTCACTGACATTGACAGCAGTAAGCAAAATATCAGGTGCAATTTAATCATCCGCTTCTGCTTCCGGAATTGTCGGTTTAGTCGTTTTAACCTGTCAGATTAAAACAAGAAAACCGACAATTCCGAAGCAGAAGCGGATGATTAAAACGCACCTATTAAAAATATTGCGCCAAGATGTAGACAACACGTAATAAGGGATCAAAATGGCGGAGTTTTCTATCTCCTTTTAAAAGGCACTCAGAAAGCTGCGCAGTGCGACCATTCTCCGTATAGTAAAAGAAAATCAAAGTATGTGGCTTAGGCATTAAAAATTTACTTTTTCTTCTTTTCTCTTTTGAAGTCATGCTCTGCATGAGCATCCAGCCAAAAAGTTACTCTAATAAATTAACTACAAAGCCACTATAAGTATATTTGTATAAGAATTGAAGGTGTATATATTTATAAAAACGATTAGAATAAATTTTAAAAATGCGTGAGTTGTATCTGTTATACTTAAAAGGAGGTTTTCATTTTAACTTATTTTTTTTAACACACTATATAAACAATCGGAGAAAAAATATGTTTCACACGACAGAGAAACAGATTTACTGCCTTGGCTAACGCGTCGCCCGGCAACTTTCCGTCTCAACTGTCAAAGTGCTACTTTCTGCTCTTAATACACAAATAGCTATTTTGTTACAATAATTTTATAAACTTTTACTTAGCTACTAGCTATATACTGATAAAATGTTATTGCCCTCATCTCATCATAAATGAATTGTGCTAACAAATGAAATCAAAAAAAATGTCTCATAATTTTTCATCTTTTAACAGTTACCAAAATTAAGTAATACAATACAAATATTTAAGTCAGGCCCAGAACATCTCCCTACTCCTTCCACCCAGTTTTTTCGGTTTTGGCAAAATTCGCGCAGCGGTAAATGCTTTCTATGTTTTCCTCTACCCTGTGTAACCTCTTTGCTCGCAACTTACAAGGCAATTGGATTCTATTCTTTGGTTACAATTTCAATATTTCTTGTTGATTGTTCTATTTGCATATTTAACTGTGATCACACTGTAAGTATGAAATTTTTTGTCTGCCTCCAAATAGTACAAGGCGGTACATTCCCAATCCAACACTTTGTCAAAATATTTAATATACGGTATTTCTCTTGAATATATCTAGTTAAGTATGTCGGTAAATATTTATTGTTTAAAATTTGTATATTAGGTATATTTTAAGTTATATTTGAAAAACTAGTCATATAGTAAGAAGAGGCCACTGCAAATTTCGACCGTCATCTGATTAAAGAAATGAAATATGCTCCAAAGGCATGTAACAACATTGTACTTCACCAAATTGCACCTGTGCCAATCCCAATCCTGAACAAAGTGATTAAAAAAAATTATTTTATGACAGCGACAATTGTGTTTGCTCTGAAAATTATTATCCTTATTCATTGTGAAACTAGCTTTTAAACCTAAATTATTAATGTTTTTACCTACCTTTTAAACCTTGTGCATGTGTGAAAGGAAGAAGAATGGCATTGTATAAACCATTTGCAGAGATAGTCAATAATAATTATAAACTCTTGTTAGACTATTCTTTTAAATTATAATCATTGTAGTTTTTTTGTCGTTTCTATGGCAACCTGTAAAAATGAATCACAATAATAAGCATACAAATAAATTTTTAATTCAGCAAAAATTGATTCATATTTTTAATGATTTTTACAAACTAATCGTGGATAGATGTTTTTGTGCGATGTTAAGAGGAAGAAAATGTTTTTCTTTAACGATATATATCCAGATATATTTGAATATATTAATTTCTTTAAGGGCAAACAAAATTAGTGCTGTCATGCCTTATGTGATTTTTTTAATATAAAATAAATTTTTTTAACCATTCTGCTCAGGATTGGGAATGGCACGGGTGTCATTTGGTAAAGTACAATATTTTTACATGCTTTTGAGGTATATTTCATTTCTTTATCAGATGACGGTAAATGTTTGTAGTGGGCTCTTGGGCTAATAGGGTCCAATTTTACCAATAATAAGTTCGAAAGAGTACATCGAAAACCATAGATTATTAAATAATGAGATACTTTGACAGTGGTATTTTTTTCTGCATATCAGCTATTTTTGTTCAGTAGAAATACCTAGTTTAACTGAAAAAGATCTGTGGAATCATGAATCACCCTGTAAGTGACAATATTTTGATTTTAATAGCTAAGTATGTATATCGATTACACAGTATGAATGACTTCCAAAAATATTTAAGGGGGATTTTTGATTTCCATTTTTAACCGACTTCAAAAAAGGAGGAGGTTATCAATTCGTCGCGATATTTTTTTATTTTTTTTTATTTTTTTTTTTTATGTTCAGCGATTATTCTTTAACACGGTGTCCGATTTCAATGATTCTTTTTTTGTTAGAAAGGGGGTATTTCAGGGGTGGTCCCATATAAATTTAGTCAAAATCTAATAATTGGGTCCATGAGAAAATCCTCAAACTCTTCATTTTTTATGTATGTTCAGCGATAATTTTTTAACACGGTGTCCGATTTCAATAATTCTTTTTTTGTTAGAAAGGGGCTACTGTAGGGGTGGTCCCATATAAATTTTGTCAAACTCTAATAATTGGATCCATGAGAAAATCCTCAAACTCTTCATTTTTTATGTTTGTTTAGCGATAATGCTTTACCACCTTGTCCGATTTATACGATTCTTTTTTTTGTTAGTAAGGGGGTACCTCAGGGGTGGTCCCATATAAATTTGGTTATGTGGCATCTGCACGTTTTTGAAGTCGGTTTTTTTAAATTTTTAATTTGTAATACTTGTAAAGAATTAGGGACTTCTAACTTCAACACCTTGTATCTCAAAATCTAGTCATAAGATAGGGTTGGGTCCATGGATACATTTGATGGGGATATCAAGTAATTTAACTTATTAAAAATTCAGATATTTTGGAAAGTGCGTGGTTCTTTCCCTCCAAGCAGGAAATTTCCAACCAAACTGCACTTTATATCCGAGTTTAACAAACTATACGTAATTCCTATAAATATGTATTTATTAAAAACATATTTGTAATATAAAATCTATCCTAAAAAACGTTTAGAAACGTTTAGAAAAATAACTTGTTTACCGTTTTAAAATATCGTTTTATTTCAGAAAATTCCCATAAGCGACTTGGAATCCATAAAACATGTTGTCAAACAATTATCCCAAAAATCTGTAAAATCGAAAGAGAAAAAAGATATTGAAAGTACTCATTCCACATTAGAAGCATCACACACTGAGCCAGTAAAAAATCCGACTGAGCCAGTAAAAGATAACATCGATCCGCTTAATGTTAAAACGGTAATTTCAAAAGGAGCCTTCCCGAAAACAGATCTCTTGAAATTTGATGCTAAATCTGGATTTTTTTTAAATAGCGCTGGAAGAAAATTTATCATTAGGGATGAGAAAGCCTTTATGATAAATGATACACAAGATTTAGTAGTAGCTGACGCAACTAAAAATACAAAAACTTATACAAGCGTCAATCCAATTGATGAAAACAAGAAAATTTTAATTAATAAAGCAGCAATTAAGAGTAACTTTGTAAAACTCACAAAATGTACAGATCAAACTCATGATAGAAACGAATCATCTGAATCTGACACTTTTTCAATATCTGATTCTGACAGTTCTTCAGTAATTGAATTTCCTCCAATATCAGAATCTCCTCCAATAGCAACATCTCCCCCAATAGCAAAATTTCCTCAAATAGCAAGATCTTTTTCAATAGCTGATTCAATAATTGAATATCCTCCAATAGAAGAATCTGATTCAAAAGGTGAATCTGAACCAACTTTATTGATGCCAAAACTTCAACAAATACTGACAGTGTGCGAAGAAACGGGTTTATTAAAAAATAACGAAGGCGAGTTTTTTAACTTAGACGGTACGCCAATGAATAAGGAGCAGGTGGAAGCTGAAAAAAATAAAGCGATAATACGCGGAGAAACCCTATTCAAAATTTCGAATATTTGCACAGTTACAGATGATGCATTTGAATATGACGGCAAGAAAGATCAGGAGGAAGAAATTCCGGTAAATTTAATACAAAAAGATCAAAAACTTGAAACAACAATTACAAAACAGTTTGGTAATATATCTGTTAAAAAAACTTCAGACTTGCAAAATCCCGTCGCCGATAGGATGGATATTAGTGTAGACGAATCTCTGAAATCACCTTCCGACGACATTTTTCTCGTAAAAAACCCAGCACATAAAACCTACGAAAGAAACTTTTCGATAACAAAAGACACCTCACAAACTGGGCCTGCACCGCCTTTAATTATGTATTCATCTAAACAGTCTTTAACGCCTAATCCTCTTGTGAATTATGGATCGGATGTTCAACCAGCTTCAGTAAAACCAAAACCGAAGACAAATATTTTGAATTTTTTGATGAACAAAAGTTTGGGACTGCCGGAAATGCCTACGATTCGGTTTAATATGGATTCAAAGGTAAGATTATCGCAATGGAAAAACAATGTGAAAATGAAAGAGATCCTTAGGCTCTAACATTTAGTAATGGCTGATAGGGATGCTTGTTTTTCAATTTTCTAAATGTTGTGTGGCTAGTTCTTGTTTTTTCTTCTTCATGTGCATGGAATTGTAGTCTTGATAGGCATTGACAGTAGAAAAATATGTGTACTGCATTTTTCTCCTCTTCCTTACGTAATCGGAATAAAGTCTGCTCTGTCAGGTCGATGTTATGCATAATATAAAACATGTCAAGCCTAAAATGCCTTGTTAATAGGCCTATTAGCAGGGGCGGCTGGTGACCAACATTTTGGGGGTTAACAGTAGCAGAATATGGATCCCGGTACAGATATAGGTAAAAACTGTCAGTGTTTTAGAAAGGCATATTATAAACTTTCTAAAACACTGAAATTTTTTTCATACATCTGTACTGATACCTATATTCTGTCACTGTGAACCCCCTACGAGCCGCCACTGCCTATTAGTATTTTTCCTATTCTGGCTTAGTAGATGCTAAGTGAGTTTTGGCGATAGTCCTTTTATGAACCTGTCTCTGTCCTGGTGAATTGTTCCCCCATTTCTGAGATTTTTTAACATCCACTGCTTTAAGCATATTCTGTGTGTCATTGTGACATCACAGCCTCTTCATTGCCTGGTACACAGGCCAAGGTTAGCCTGTTTTGACTCCCTCGCTCTGTTAGGCATTTCCATTATTTTGCTCATTTTCCAAGTCTTTATATACCTCGCAGTAATCAATCATGCACAAGCAGACTGCTTATGGGTGATGGGCCTTTGTGCAGTCTGTATGTGAATAACCTGGCTGGCTTCACATGGAATACATATGTGTAGTGGTCTTAAGTTTAGCACGTAAAACGTATATGTCAAATTTATTGATGTTTTTATTAAAAGTTTGGTTAGAATTAAATGTCAGTGGAACCAAAATGACATCACACTGAACTAGCGCATAAGTAATAAAAATCAGCTGTCAGTACGGGCTGTCATCTGGTGAAAGCTCAAATGTCATGTACCGAAATGATGTCGTCCAAAAAGTGATTCATGAACGGTCCGAAGTACCGAGCGAGGTGGCTTTGCGGTAACGCATCTGCTTCGCATTTGGAACATCGTGGGGTTAACACCCTGTGCCGCCTCGCCAGCTATGAGTTTTTTTTTCTTAGGTTTTATTATAGCAATTGGCAAATGCTGGGTCACTAACATCCTCGCAGATACCTAACCATCTTTTCCGACCCATGCTCTCAGACCCGATCCCTAATGCCTTCAGTGTGGCTAAAAAGGCTAGGAGAATGAAATACACATGCTTTACCATTTTTTTAGTTGGAACGCCTTATGAGGATTCATCCATTAAACGGTATTTGTTTTGTTAGAACACCTGTAACTTACTACGCATGACCGTGACGGAACAGCCTATGGTTGGTTACATTTTCTTGTGATATTGTCCTGTCCTGTGAGTGACTACTTTTTATCAGATTAATTAATACAATGGTATTCCCTTCCGAAGAACACTCATTTGTATTTCATAATATATCTTCAATTCATTTTAATTCTATTTTTATCTTAGATACAAAATTAATCTTAAGAGTCTGTAAGAGTCACTGTTTCGTTTTCATTAAGAGTTACTGTTTTGTTTTATGTAAGGTTTTTCTCAATTTGTTGCTTAGGTAACTATCATGTTTTTATTTTACATCTTTAACGAAAGTCTGGTATGTTACTTCACCAGTCAAAGACTATTAGTTAACTACACTTCCCCAATAAATTAACGCACCATCAAAAAATAAAAAGTTTAAAAGTAAATATTTCAAAACCACTTGTCTGATTTGGACGATTTTTTTTTTTAATGACAGGTTGTCTATTCCAGAACGTCGGTGTGCTAACTGTGTTTGCATAAAACCCTCTTTTTTATAAATACAGGGTGTAGTAATTATAGCGTGATTTTTTTCATAAAAGTTGTAACACCTTGTAGAGTGTAATAGTTACATTATCAAGGTAGAATTGATATCACAATTTAGCCTTCTTTTTTCTTTTTTTATTTACTCCAAAAAACAACGACAACACGAAACAAAATGTAAATAAATAAGTTAAACGAAAGTGTCAGTGGCGAGTATTTCCGCCTTTGGCACGAATAACTTTTTGACAACGGCGGCCCATACTTAAAATAAGCGACCTTGTCATTTTGGTCCAATTCTTCCCAAATTTAAATCAGTCTCTGCCGTTCATCTTCCAGAGAGTTGAGATTACGTTCCTTTTGTAATCTCTTCCTAAGAGTATCCCAGAGATATTCTATCGGATTTTAATCCGGGCTCCGAGCTGGTCATGCCATGGTAGCGATTCCGACTTCCTTTAGATAATTTCTCGAAACTCGAGCAACATGAGGCCTGACATTATCTTGCATCAACAAAAATCCTTGTCCAATATATAGTGCAAATGGCATTACATGTTCGTCTAAAATCCCCAATATGTACCTGTTAGCTGTAAGGCTTCCATTTAGGGTTACAAGCTCCGTGCCACCAGTCAAAGAAATGCCTCCCCAGAGCATCAGAGATCCTCCTCCAAATAATGTTTTATGTGAGAAATTACACTGAGCGTACCGTTCATTAGGGCGTCGATATACGCGCATACGCTTGTCATTGTTATACAAACAAAATCGAGACTCATCAGTAAATAATACCTGTTGCCATTCAGCCTCTAACCAGTTACGATTCTCCCTAGCAAAATTTATTCTAGTTAGAGCTGCTATTCTATGCATCAAATTATGTTCCTTTAGTCGCTGACGAACAGTTTCTGTACAAACTTCTAAACCGTTAACACCCAGAAGCTGGGTTTTAAGGGTCTGAGCTGTTACAAAATGTTGGCTTAATGCTGACAGTCTTAAAAATCGGTCCTGAATCGGAGTGGTTACTCGGTTTTTTCCTTGTCCCGGCCTACGACCATGATTTCCAGTTTTTCTAGATCTTTGTTGTGTGAGTTACGTCAAATCGTTCACCAATTCTTCGGTAACTCCAACCCTCTTCAAACAATATTAAAACTTGAGCACATTCTTCGCGAGTAAGATTTTGTGGCATATTGATTAATAATTTTTTTTTTGCAAAAAATGACGTAAAGTCTAATACTGACAATACGCATTTGTATTTGACAATTACTGGTTTAAAGTTGAAGGTGGTAGCCATGTGTGAGTTATAAGTTCAAAAAGGTAAATCAAACAAGGGTGGTCCTTAGGATCTCACAAGAGTATTTTATTAACGACCGGTTTTGAGGATCAAATCCTCATCATCAGGTAAGGTCTAAAAATAGAGAGGAAAAACGAATGAGCTCATAACTAATAAGTGGGTTTAAACATTTTAATATGAAAGTTGTCAAATATCAAGAACTCACCCGTAATTACTCATCTATTTAAGACTAAGCTAGTAGAATTATCCCAGGGTCGGTGTAAAAACAAGTATGCGAGTATTTTTTAAAATACATAAAAAATATAAAAAAAACAATAGTTGCAACAAAAAGTTGATGTCAAAACACATAAACAAAAGTAGGTCTAAAACTATTAATAAAATTATTAAAATATTTCAAAAACGGACGAACAATTAAGACAAACAAATTTAAAAACTTTTTAAAAAACCCTACAAGCACTAAAATGGGTTCTTGGAAAAGTGTTTATAATTCTACAGAAATTAAATTTTATTTAGATTAATAACTGATTAACGCCCTCAAGATATAAATAGACGAATTAAGATATCTTAAATATTAGAATGGTTAATTCGTCTATTTATATCTTGAGGGCGTTAATCAGTTATTAATCTAAATAAAATTTAATTCCTGTAGAATTATAAACACTTTTCCAAGAACCCATTTTAGTGCTTGTAGGGTTTTTTAAAAAGTTTTTAAATTTGTTTGTCTTAATTGTTCGTCCGTTTTTGAAATATTTTAATAATTTTATTAATAGTTTTAGACCTACTTTTGTTTATGTGTTTTGACATCAACTTTTTGTTGCAACTATTGTTTTTTTATATTTTTTATGTATTTTAAAAAATACTCGCATACTTGTTTTTACACCGACCCTGGGATAATTCTACTAGCTTAGTCTTAAATAGATGAGTAATTACGGGTGAGTTCTTGATATTTGACAACTTTCATATTAAAATGTTTAAACCCACTTATTAGTTATGAGCTCATTCGTTTTTCCTCTCTATTTTTAGACCTTACCTGATGATGAGGATTTGATCCTCGAAACCGGTCGTTAATAAAATACTCTTGTGAGATCCTAAGGACCACCCTTGTTTGATTTACCTTTTTGAATTACTGGTTTTTCCATAGCATGCTACTTACTTTAGTGCTTATAATGCTAATGAAAATGAATAAAGTGATGTTAAGTTATAAAATTGAGTTTCTCGTGTAATAGGAAAGATAATGGACTAATTAAAAAAGCAATTGTTAAGAAAAGATAAGGCTAAATTGTGTTATTAATTCTAACTCGATAATGTAACTGTTGCATTCTACAGGGTGTTACAACTTTTATGAAAAAATCAGGCTATAATTGATGTATTAATAAAAAAGAGGGTTTTATACAAACACAGCACACCGACGTTCTGGAAGAGACAACCTGTCATTAAAAAAAGTGGTCTTAACAAATATTTACTTTACTTATTTTTTGATGGTGCGTTTATTGGGGAAGTGTATTTACATGAATATTGAGTTGCATTTTTAGGTTCTAAATAATAATCCTGCTAAACCAGAAGCAAGAAGAAATTATTCGATTTTATCAAAGAAAGCCCCGGACCTTTCATTCCATACACCGACGTTTGATTCCCTCATGAATGTATCTCCAACTGAAAACCTCGAGAACTTGGTAAGAGTTAAAGACGAACCACCGGATTTTGATTTGGACAATTCCTTAGCTCCGGATAGCGAGGATACTTTAAGCGCTCCGGATGTTGAGGAACTTGATTCGTGGCAGAATATTATAAATTCTTTGGACGATAGTAACAGTAATTATGTAGATGTTCCGGACTTTGTGAAGATCAACAATGTTAATATGCTGGTGAGTGGTTTAATTTAAAATTAAATTATATTATTTTTATATTCACTTATAGTCAACAAGGTGATGTGTTGTTTAAATTCCAAAATTGATTATTTTATAACATATTTTATACCTATGTATCATAAATTTCTCTTTCATCATTTAAATTTGTCGCAATTTTGGGCTCCCAATGAAATCATCGACGGTGTTCTGACAAAAGGGCGTAAGCGCCGAAAATATGTAAAATTAATTTTTGGTTATTTACGATACTTTAATGCGTTACCCCTCGATTCATCAACTATCGCGAATTATTTGACTTTAAAATATTGTAAGCGACAGAACATGCTGATGTAAATTCCGTTACAAACGCAGTCTGCAACAGGTCGTCCATTGTAAAACATGTGTGTGAACCTGTGAAGTGTTTTCTTTACAATATTCCAATGTAAGTAGTATTATTTTTGTGTTAACATAATTTTTTTGTATCGTAGATTATAACTTCTAATTTCGTGTTTTTATTTAAAGAAAAACAAGCCATAAACACTTAAATTAATTGTATGGCGTTTACGCCTTTTAGTTCTGAAAAACCTTGTAGGCGTATGTGTAGGTCATGTACATACAGACAGAATGGGAAAATTCAACATGATTTTTATCAATTTCTTAAAAAGCTACTATAATTATTACTTCAGATAATATTATTTCTTTTTTCTGTTTAAAAAAAAAATATTTAAAATATTTAAAAAACTAACTGGTTTTATTTGAAAATTCAATTAAGAATTCGACCCATATGTTGCATATGCTTATTTATTTTTTTTCAGGACCAAAGAATGGAAGAGGAAGAGAAACCCCATGAAACAAAATTAATTGACAGTAATAGCGGTAATGGAGATATCCTAGAAAATGAGTTACCCATTACTCAAAGTGACAGCCTGCCTGAAATAAATAATTTACCTAATGTGAATGTATTGGATGACAGTTGTAAAGTGGAATCATCCCCTGATGAGACTGACTGTGAATCTAATAATAATGATGAACCAAAAAGAATAGTGGAATATAGGAGCAGTTCTTCCGAGATGAATAAAGATGATGAAAGAAGCAATCAAAATATTAACGTTAACAAATTAAGACGACTTTTGGGTAAATCTTGTCTGGCTAACAAGAATAAACAAATCAGAAAAAAGAAAATTTTACCGAATCCTTGCCTTAACAAGCGTTGCTATAATGATTGTAACATTTTAACAGAAGATGAACGAAAAAAACAATTTAAAACCTTTTGGGCTTTAAAATCAGATGTACAAAAACATTATTTCGTAAATAGTTGTGTACATGTAATTCCAGTAAAAAGGAAAAGAACAAGTGAAGAAGTTTCACGAAGAAATTTTACATACCAGTACTTTGTTATGTCAGAAAATGGCCCGCGCCGGGTTTGCTTACATTTTTTTTTGAACACTTTAGGTATTTCCCAAAAATTTGTTCGAAATTCGTTGGAAGGCAAAATAAAATAGCAATTTAACCAAAACATAAAATAAACAATCCTGCACAAATTAAAAAGTTTAAAAGATTCCGTCGCAGTACGCCCCACAAAATGGTTCCTTTCTGGTACCTTCCAGCAGACCAAAGTTTTTGCAAATCTCTATAGGATGTGTGTGGACAGAGTGGACAACAAACCTTAATCAGCTTAACTCGCTTTAAAAAGTTTTTGAAGCGAGATTACAATATTTCATTCATGTCCCGAAAAAGGACAAATGCGTTAAATGTGAGCGATATAAAAATATCCCAGATATTTTGAAAATAGTTAAACATAAGGAAGGCCAAATCATTCACGAAAAAACAAAAAAAAATAAGCAAAAATTGCTTTTACTCGAGATCAAAGCAAATCCGCAGAAACCAAAACTTATAAGTATGATGTTTGGTTTTTCAAGAAAAGACACAATTTTCAACTTTACGGTATATGAAAGTAGGTCTCAAAATGGATACTTCCACTTCTGCGGCGAGCAAGTTGATAAACTGGGCTTTAATGATATTTGAAGCAACTTACATCATTACACTTGTATGTTACAGAGGAATATGAATCGTATCACTTTATTGTGATAATTGACCAGGCAAAAATAAAAATAAATTTGTTTTATCTATGCTTGCCATAAATATCAATTCAATAATGATAACATACGAGGCACGTCCAGAAACAAAGTGTACTAGATTTTTAAAACAAAAATTACATGTGAACTATTTTTCCACCTAGTCGCCATCTCCTTTGCCCACTTATTTACCTACCACTTTACTTCTTCGTTAGTTTAAATTTTGTTCCCATCCTTGTGCATCTTCACGGAGGTGAACAGATGATAATCTGTAGGTGTCAAATCAGGGGAAATCACGGGGTGGTTCAAAACATCCCATCTGAACGACTCTAAAAGTTGTTTTGTTGTGTTGCCCGTGTAGACCAGTCAAATTAACTCATTTAACTGGACTTTGATTAGTGTAAATGTTAGAGAGACTTGTAATAAATAAAAAAAAATGCAATCTGGGATGGGCTGAAGTAAACTTTTCGGAGGTTGAAAAGGGGTAAAAAAATGGTATTATCGTGATTTCTGGCGAAAGTTGTAGATCAATCAAAAATCTACAGCTTTTGTAGATTTTAACATAACCTCAGAATTTTCGATAAAAATGTAAAAGTTCTTATTTTTTATTTCTCCAAAAAATATCTAATTTTGATGAAATTTGGTGAAATTATTCCTTTGTATGTCTTAAATAAAACTTTTTTTTTTTATTAAAAAATCCGAAAGATTTCGAGATATTAATTTTTTTGGTCCATAACACTCTTTTTTTAAAGAAATTCTACGGTGAAAAATTATCATACAAAGTTCTTCAGGTACTCACTTTTTTCGTTTTGACATGTAGTTGTTGATAAAATAAAAAACATATAGTCTCGATTAAAAATATCCTCAAAAATGGATAAAAACAAAAAATGACAATAGCTACAATGAAATATTCCTTAATTGATCTAACTTGTTTAATAAAAAAAAAACTGATTTAATTGTAGGGAAAAAATATAAAAGAAACTTTTTTATTTTTTGATAGAATTCTTATTTGTGTATATTATAGTAGTGCTACAAACAATGAATGATTAGGATTCAGACAAATATACTGTTTAGAGGATAAAATCAATATATACATTTTCCACATACATCTACTTCGAAACATTTTTCTATAGATATTCATTGAAAACGAAAATACGGTCCATTTTAGAAAAATCATGTATAAACAAAAATTATAGAGATCGATATCACAACTTTTAGGTAAACAATTTTCATAAAAATCAGAATTTTGCACATTTTGTCAAATTTCTCGAATACGGACCATTTCAGGAAATTTTGACATAAGGCAAAAATTATAGATAATAATATTAGAAGTAACTTTTATTTGAACAATTTTCTTCTCCAAACATAACAGATATATTCCATAAAATGTAAAAAGGGCCTCCCATAAAGTACCCCCTAGATGTTCGGACTTTGTCCAAAATCTAATCATTTCACGTCAGGCCGAAATAAAACTTAAGTTTAAAATTTAATGTCTTTTTCTTTATCCGTTTTTGAGTTTTCTTCAAAATTCGAAATTTACACATTTTCTCAAATATCTCGAATACGGTCCATTTTAGAGAAATTATGTATAGGATGAAAATGATAGAGAATTATATTACAAACAACTTTTATTTGAAAATTTTTTATAAAAAATTATTTTTTTTTACATTTTGTTAAATTTCTCGAATACGGACCATTTTAGGAAAATTTTGTATAAAACAAACATTTTAGATAATAATATTAGAAGTAACTTTTATTTGAAGAATTTTTTCTCAAAACGTAAATAACATATATTCCATAAAATATAAAAATGACCACCTATAAAGTACCCCCCCCCCCCAGATGTTCCGACTCTGCCCAAAATCTAATCATTTCATTGGACGCTGGAATAAAGCTTAAGTTTAAAATTTGGTGTTTTTCTGTGTATCGGTTCATGAGTTATAGTGGATACAGACACACACACACACACACACACAGGCATCATTGCGAAAATAGTCAAAACGGATTCAGGGGACCTCAAAACGTAAAAATCCGTCGAAAACTGGAGGTCGAAAAAATCATGATTCCTATACTTTCCTTATATCTATATCTGTATACAGATAGGAAAGTAAAAATGGATGACAAAAATTAATTTCTAGGTCATCTTGCTCTTTTTGCCAATCGACCCTCAATTGAAATGGTTTTCTTGCTCATCTTTTTCAATAATTTTCTCGCAATTATTAAAGTAATTGGTTTTTCGGGTTGAAGCAAAGACTGCTTCAGAGTCACTACAATCTTTCGAAATTTTCAAACACTTTGTATGTACATCGCAGACCATGTTCTGTATCTGTAACGTGTGGAGGGTGGGTTACCGCTACGCCACTTAGGCCTCACTAGGCCCATTGAGCATCCTTTTAAGATGATAGGCACCTCCAAGCTCGTGAACCAGCTTACAGATTTAATGTAGTTGACAACAACGCCAAGAGGAGCTTCTCTTATATCGGCCGGTGTTAGCCGACACTCGCCGATCACAAATCTCCTAATAAATGAGAGTGTAGAGCAATCGTAGAGGATATGCTCGATGGTCTCATCTTCTTGTTCGCACCCTCTGCAGTCTGCGGATTCTGACACCCCATGATCTGGAGATGTTTCCGTACTTGGCAATGACCAGTCAGAATGCCTGTGACTAGGCGCACATTCTGTCTAGTCATAGTCAAGTATTTGTTTGTAGCTCCCTGGCAACTCTTACAATTTCTTGTTTCATCCCATCTTTCCTTGAATTTCACAAGGCCAATAGAAGGGCCAGGTCCAAAAAGTATTTGGTTGGCTGCTTTCTTGGCCAGTGAATCAACAAGACGGTTACCTTTCGACGTGGCGTGACCTTTGATCCATCTTAAGGTGACCACGTTGTTGATGGATACTTCGGCCAAAGCTTCATGACATTCTAGTACTAACGCTGACCATGTT